AAAGGGGCCTGTGAACGACATAAGTTTAAGAACTAGTGTTCTGAAAAACTCACACACACACACACACACACACAAAATATATATATATATATATATATATATATATATATATATATTAAAATTGAATAATAGTAAAATATTATGTTTTAAATGTTTTTGGAAAAAATCTATAACTAATCAATTAAAAGGATGTCTTGTATTAAATAGAGCCAAAATCACTGAGAATAAAAATGAAAAGGTAGAGAGAAATTACCTCTCAACAGAGTACATTAAAATGTAACTTATACTGGGGAAGATATAAGTCTTATAAAGGAAATACTTACTTGAACACCACGGAGCCCTGGGAGCCCTGGATATCCTTTAAGACCCTATAAGAAAAAAGATAAAAATATGCTATGAAAAGTAAAATTATAAAAGCCAAATGACTAAACATAAGTTCTATGTTTCTCTTTACTACACCTTTTCAATTATCTCATCAATACAAATTTAAATCTTACTAATTTATTTCTTATTAAATTTAACTTTTTATTTAATAATAACTTATATTATTAAATAGTAAATTAATTCTTATTACAATTGTTTATTCATTTTGAGTGTTGCTTGAATGATTTTTTAATCAAGAAAATCGTAGCTTAATATTTAATAGAAAATAAAACACAGTATCTTTTAGAAAAGATTTATACCTAGCAATGAAATTGTTACGTTTTCTGAGGATTTTTGTTCAATAATGCTGAGACAAAATGCCCTCAGACATAATTTATTATTATTGAAAAACTGGATCATATCCAGGCAGTTTCTCTAATCCTTTAAATCAGTGTCATAACACTTCATGAATGAGCTAACTCAAATGAAAAAGGCTACTCATTGGTTTATCAAAAACCTATAAAGCCATCTAAAAAATTAGAAACAAAAATATTTTCCAAGTATAGAAGCAAAGTCAAATGGATAATATCTTTCTTCCTCCAGAAAGAGAAAGAAAAATGGAAAAAACAGGAAGAAGGAAATAAAAGATAACTTTAGAGCTTATTTATATGGTTTTAATCAATCATCAGAGAATTTCCCTACTGTCTCCCAGATTTTGGCTCACATAAAAGAGAAAAAAATTTCTTTTCTTTTTTTTAAATTTTTTAGTTGTATATAGACACAATACTTTATTGTATTTGTTTATCTATTTATTTTTGTGGTTCTATGGCTTGAATCCAGTGCCTCACACATGCTGGACAAGCACTCTACCACCAAGCCACAACCCCAGGCCCAAGAAGTTCCTTTTCTTAAGCACCTCATAGATGCACTGATGAAAAAAAAAATTTAAAATATCATAGAATATTTAAAAGATGTAATTCAAAAGCCTGAAATAAATCATGTTTTACAAATGTCAAAAGTGTTCCATTAGCATGCAGCAGATAAGTTTTTAGAGTCACAAAATATATGGTTAAATGGAGTGAAAGAATTATTCAGGATTAAACAATGATATTTTTATTTATTTATTTATTCATTTATTTTAGTTGTAGATGTACACAACTAAATCATGTCTTAAAGGCCCCGTCACTTCATTTTATTTTATTTTATTTTTAGTGGTACTGAGGATAGAACCCAGTGTCTTCTACATGTGAGGCAAGCTACAACCCTAGCCCTAATCAATGTTTTGTTAGAAAATATGAGCTTGAATTAATAGGTTAGAGAAGGAAAAGATGCTTTGATTAGACCATGGGTAAATGAGTAAATGAACTTATCTGAAAATTAAGGGAATGATTTTAGAAGATTTGAGATGTTAAACTTCATACTACAGTAAAATATTTAAGTAGAGAAGTCTCTTGGGAACTGTTATGGTTTCAATGTGGCTTGTCCCTGTCAAAACTCATGCTGAAAATTGATTCCCAATGTAACAGTGCTGAGAAGTGATGGGGCCTTTAAGACATGATTAGATTCTTGAGAAGTATTAATGTCTTTCTCCCAGGAGTGATTTCTCCCCGTCAAGGGACTGCAAAAACATATTCTTTTCTAACAGTATGCTTTGCCTCTTTCGCCTGCCTTTTTGCATCTCTACTTTCTACCATGAGTTGAATCAACATATGGCAAGCAGACACTAGCATCATGTTCTTGAACTTTCCAGCCTCCAGAATCATGAGCCAAAATAAACCTCTCTTCCTTATAAATTACTCAGTCTCAGGCATTGTTATAGCAACAAAGTGGACTTAGACAGAAACCCAAGAAAAGTAAGAAAGAGTTTAAAGGGAAAAAAGCTTATTATCTATATAGTATGGAAGTAAAAAGGAAGTAAAAGAAGGAAAAACTAGAGGGAATAGAAAAAAGTATGTTCTTTGGTAGTCAGTTCCTTTGTGATTAGGCTAATAGAAAGAGATCAACAAAGTAGCAGTCATGAGAAAGAACAGAAAAAAGGAAAGGAGCTAATGAATGAACTTCACTGAGCTACTATGTGCCAGGCATTGTGTCATTTCCAAACATCTCAGTTCATAATTACAACAATACTATAAAGTGAGTGTTGTTCCCATTTTTACAGACAAGGAAACTGAGCTTGAAGAAATTAAATGAATTGAACAAACTCTGATAGAATAATAACATTTTTATATATTTATCAAGAATCAAGTAACCTACTTTTCTAGTTAGTTGCTTTATGTGCTTCTAACAGTCTCATAATCAGATGGAACCTGTTCTTATTCTCATCAACAAGTTCAATCTCATCCACAAAAAGAAGTATACTCCATGAAATTGAAAGGAAAGGAACATTCCCCAAAACATTCCATAAAGCCAGTATAACCCTGATGCCAAGACCAGACAAAGACCCATCTAGGAAAGAAAACTATAGATGAATATCACTGATGAACACAGATGCAAAAATTCCTAATAGAATATTAGCAAACCACATTCAAAAACATATTAAGAAGATAATACACTGTGATTAAGTGGGCTTCATCCCAGGGATGCAAAGTTGGTTCAACATGGAAATCAATAAATGTAATTCACCAGTTCAATAGAATTAAGGACAAGAATCATATGATCAGCTGGGTGCAGTGGGGCACGCCTATAATCCCAGTGGCTTGGGAGGCTGAGGCAGGAGGATTCCAAGTTCAAAGCAAACCTTAGCAAGAGCAAGGCTAAATAAAACACAAGGGCTGAAGATGTGGCTCAGTGGTTGAATGCCCCTGAGTTCAATCACCAGTACCAAAAAAAAAAAAAAAGAATCATGATAATCTCAATAGATGCAGAAAAGGCCTTTGATAAAATATAGCAACAATTCAGACTATATACAGCAAACACATAACCAATATCATATTGAGTGGAGAAAAACTGAAGGCTTTTTTTCCCTCTAAAATCAGGAATAAGACAAGGATGTACATTCTAATCACTTCTATTCAAAGTTGTTTTCAAAACTCTAGTAAGAGTAGTCAGACAAAAAAGTAAATTAAAGTGTAGAAATCAGAAGTCAAACTATCACTGTTGATTACCTAATCCTATATATAGAACACCCCAAAAATTCTACAAGACTTCTAGAGCTGACAAATAATTTAGCAAAGTAGCAGAATACAATATCAATGCTTGCAAATCAACAGCTTTTGTATATTCCAAAAATGATACAGCTGAGAAAGAAATCAGAAAAATAATCCTCTTCACTCCAAAAAGAAAAAAAAATGGGAATTAAATCTAACCAAGGAGGTGAAAGATCTCTACTATGAAAACTATAGAACACTGAGGAAAGAAATTGAAGAGGGTCTCAGAAGGTGAAATGATCTTCTGTGTCCTTGAATAGGTAGAATTAATAAAGCCAAAATGGCCATAATACCAAAAGGACATATACATTCAATACAATACCCATCAAAATACCAACACATTCTTCCCCAAACTAGAAAAAAACAAAACCATTCCTAAAAATCATTTAGAGGAATATGAGACCCAGTATAGCAAAAGCAACTCTACATAAGAAAAGTGATGCAGGAGGCAATTACAAAACAAAAACAAAGGATTTAGGGTTGTGGTAGAGTGCTTATCTAGCACATGTGAGGCACTGGGTTCAATCCTCCACATTAAAAATCCACCACATTAAAAAATAAATTAATTAAATAAAGGTATAACTAAAAATATTTTTTTAAAAAACAGCATGGTATTGGCATCAAAATAGACATGAAGACCAATAGAATAGACTAGAAGACACAGAGACAATTCAAATTTTAAAGCCTTCTCATATTAGACAAAGGTGTCAAAATATATATGTTGGAGAAAAGACAGCCTTTTCAATAAATATTGCAGGGAAAACTTCCTATCCATATGTAGAAGAATGAATTTAGATCCATATCTTTCACCCTGCACAAAAGTCAAATCAAAACGAATTGAAGATTAGGCCAGAAACCTTGCAACTGCTAGAAGAAAACAAAGGGTCAACACTTTATCCTGCAGGTACAGGCACTGATTTCCTCAACAAGATCCCTAAATCTCAATAACTAAATCTCAGAATCAATAAGGGAGTGCACCATCAAATTAAAAAGCTCTGCACAGAAAAGGAAACAAGAGTGGAGAGACATTCTACAGAATGGGAGAAATTTTTGGCTAGCTACTACTCTGAGAGGGGATTGATATCTAAAATATATTTAAAAACTCAAAAAACTCAATGCTAAAAAAGTAAATAGTACAACCAATAACTGGGAAAGAGAATAAACAGAAACTTCTTAAAAGAAAAAACACAAATGACCAACAAATATATAAAAAAATGTTCAGGATCTCTAGCAATTAGGGAAATGGAAATGAAAGCTACACTAATTTTAAGTCACTCCAGTTAGAATGGCACTTATTAGAAACACAAGTAATAATAAATGCTGGTGAAGTTATGGGGGAAAAGATATTCTCCTATATTGTTGGTGGGAGAACAAATTAGTATAATAACTCTGGAAAGTCCTCAAAAAACTAGGAATGCAACTACCATATGACCCAGTTATTCTACTCCTTGGTATTAATTCAAAAGATCTAAAATCAGCATATTATAGCAATACAGCCACCTCAATGTTGATAGCAGCACAATTCACGATTGACAAATTATGGAATCAAAACAGATGCTTGTCAATAGATGAATGAATGAAGAAAAATTGTATATAAACAAAATGAAGTTTTACTTGGCCATAAAAAAGAATGAAAAAATGGCATTTGCCAGTAAATGTGTGAAATTTGAGAAAATAATGCTAAGTGAAATAGGCCAAATTTAGAAACTCAAGTATCAATGTTTTCTCTCCTATGTGGAAGCAAGAGTAAAACAAAGGTCAGTAGGCAATTGGTATGGGAATCGGATAACATAAAGAGACATGAAAGATTAACGGAGTAGAAGGAGAATGAGACTGATGAAGGAAGGGAAAGGGGAAGA